TAAACTTAAACGTTAACGTAGTCGTACTAGTACGAACTTAAGTTACGTCGTACTTACTTCCTACTTACTTCGTACTGGTCGGAAACAACAACACACACTCACTCTCTCTCTCTCTCTCTCTCTCTCTCTCCCTCCCTCTCTCTCTCTCTCTAATAACAAGCTCTTCTATTATAGATTCTTTCAAAAATCAAAACTTCTAAATTAATACAAAATAAAAATAAAGGGGAATTTATTTTATCATCATGTTACATTTTAAACTTTATTTGACTAATAAAACGAATTTAATAGACAACTAATACTCAACATGAGACAAGTTATTAATATTTACGTATTTTTTTGATACAATAGTGAAAAACATTATGCAATTGCCACTATTTCTTTTAGAAATCTAAAAACAAGGATTTTTGAGAAATTATAGTGATGTTTGAAAATTTTTAGTCCGAGACTGGTCGATCCAACCGATTCTCACATTTGGATCACCGATCCATTCAATCCAACACGGTTTTTAGAGTGGCCGATCCAGTTCACCTTGAGATGACGTGCTTTGATTTAATTATGGTTAGATTTCTTAAGGAACAAGTTAGATTATAGAGTTTTTCTTCTACAAATATGTAAGTGTTATACAAGAAAAAATAGAGAGAAGAAAAGTTGAGTTTAGGTTTTCATGAAAATATCTTTTGTTGTGGACTCCGTTTTAGAACCTTAGAAAGAGTCAAATCTCAACCTTCGGGCTAGAATCCAAAACAAATTCTATCACCCATTATTTATATTGGATTATTTTCGGATTCTCTTTTTCTTCTTTCCTCTCTTTCGTATGTCACATATCACCCTTGAACTTTGGTGAAGCGATACTTTAAGCAATTAACAATAGGGAAAGGTTTCTATATTTCTCCTACAGCATAGAAGAACTATCCTCCCCTTACCATCCAACCGTCCAATTTTGATCAAAAGAGCCACTCATTGTTTGATCTTAGAACCGATGTCTCAAAATATTTTATTTTTTGTTTTTTTTTTATACAAATTATATGAATATGAAATTTGGTACGTGCCATCTTCTAATTTGGGGGCACCTATAAAAAATATTTTTTTGATGAAATATAATGATCAAAATGCCCTTTATAATTTTCAGGGGTATTTTGATCATTTTATTTTATTAAAAATATTGTTTCTTATATTTTTCGTTAGTGCAAGTTTATTAGAGGGTTGGACGTCCAAAATTTGGTATCAAAATAATTTATAGAAAAAAATTAAAAATAAAATAGTGTAGAGAAGTGACATTGTGATTGAAGCAATCTTAACCCTCCATTCTGAATGGACGATTGGATAAGGGGAAGTATATAAGTTTTATCCTGTAGGCGAAACATAAAAAGTTTGCCCTTAACAGTAGTGGTCATATGCTTCTGACAATATCCACATTTCACATACCCCTTACCCCTTTTTGCCAATTTCACCCATCCTACCAAGTTGAATCTTGCCTCTCAGTTGACACCTCTCAGTTGACATCTTGTAAGCCTACAGGATGTCTAGAAAAGTCATCACATGGGTATGGGACTTGACTTTTCTAGAGATTTGTACCAAATTTAATGGTGATCCTTTAGGGTCCAACACACATTGGTGTGGGAGGGTCTCATAGGATCATTACTATATATATATATATATATATATATATATATATATAAATGAAGATACTACAAAATGCCTATAGGTGAAAATGAACAGTGATTTTGCCTATGCTCATCACTGTCCAAAGTTCATCGCATGGTCACACTTGTCCAGTAGTGTTTTAATTTTCATTTTGTTTTTATAAATCGGAATAATATGAAATTTGGAGCATGTGTATATCTTAATGAGGTGCACCTAATAAAAATATGAAACAAATATTTCACCAAATATAAATTGACCAAAATACCCTGTAAAATTTTAAGAGTATTTTAGTCAATTTATATTTTACAAATTATTTGTTTTATATTTTTATTAGATTTTACTATTTTTGATGAATATACGCTCAAAATTTTAGATCATTATGATTTATAGAAAAAAATGAAAAATAAAATACTATTCATTTTCACCTATAGGAGTTGGGAAGAGTTTTCCTATATATATATATATATATATCTATGGGAAAAAGCTGGGATTAGCCCACTAGCTCATATGAACATATGAACCCAAACAACCCAAATTGAATCTGGGCCGATCTGACAATCACTGATGTCCCGTAGTTTTTGAATTTTATTTATTTTTCTACAAATCCAAATCGCTTATATGACGCTCACGGATGTCCGATAGTGTTTGAATTTTAATTTTTTTTATAAATTAAAAGCACTTGAAATTTTAGGTGTATGTTCTTCTCATCAAGTCACACCTAACAAAAATACCCCCCGAATCTTTTCGGGGGTATTTTGGTCAATTTATTTCATTTAAAAAAAAGTTTTTGATATTTTTTATAGATTCGGTCATAATTGTCCAAACTTTGTCGCACGGTCACAATTATCCGGTGGTGTTTTAATTTTCATTTTTTTTATTAAAAAAAGTTTTTGGTCAATTTATTTCCATACGCGAATGTCCTCGATTCAATCTGGGACATTATGTAGTTAGTTTGACGCTTACAAATGTCTGATAGTGTTTAAATTTTAATTTTTTTTCTAAAAGTAAAAATCACTTGAAATTTTAGGCGGGTATTCTTAAAAAATAGGTGAATCTACGAAAAATATCAAAAAAAAGTTTTTACGTGAAATATATTGACCAAAATACCCCTAAAAAGATTTGGGAGGTATTTCGGTCAATGGTTTATTTTTTTTTATATTTTTTATTAGGTGTGACTTGATGAGAAGAACACACACCCAAAATTTCAAGTGATTTTAATTTGTAAAAAAAATTAAAATTCAAATACTATTGAACATCCGTAAGCGTTAGATCGGCCCATATTCAATTTGGGCCGTGGGCGTTTATTGTAGCAGTACGCACTTGGGTGCACAACATCTTGGCTTATATATATATACTACAAAACCCTTATTGGCAAAACTGAGCAGTGATTTCACCTACCCTCATCACCATCCAAACTTCATCGTACGGTCACAATTGTCTAGTACTGTTTCAATTTTCATTTTTTGTTTACTTATCGGAATAAACTGAAATTTGGAATGTATGTACATCTTAGTGAGGCACAACTAATAAAAATATTAAAAATATAATTTACAAAATATAAATTGACCAAAATGCCACCGAAAATTTTTGGGGGTATTTTGGTCACTTTATATTTTACGAATTATTATTTGTTATATATTTTTATTAGGTTTGCTTCACTAAGATGTATCCTCTCGCCAAATTTGAATTAATTTGGATTTGTAGAAGAAAAAAAAATTGAAGCATTACCGGACAACTGTGACCGTACGATGAAGTTTGAATGGTGATGAAGGTAGGCGAAATCATTGTTCATTTTTGCCTATAGGTGTTGAGAAGAGTTTTTCATATATATATATATATATATAAGGATGCAACCTTATAATGTAGAATTACACCTAAAAAATCTATCGGAAAAGGAAGTTTTAATGTTGAAAAGCCCTTTGATTGATCATCTCGACATCGAGTTGTATGACCATGAAAAATAAAAAGATTTTAAGTTGAATTTTACAATATATTATCTACACCGTCCATTTTCAAGATTTTTATATGTTTATAGATGTACTTAATTTCAACCATTTTTTAAATTTAAAAGTTTATATTAGATATAAAAATAAATTTTGAGATAATCCCCTCTACAGCTACGGAAGCATCTGTATGGTAACCGCACCCATATATATTTATATATATAGCAATGATTTCATGCAACAGTTGCGTCATACTATAATACAACGACACTTCTAGAAAACCATGTTTGTGTTATTTGTATGATCCAAAATTTGGCATAGACACTGTCTTCATCTCAATTATCAATCTCAAAAAAAAAAAATTCAATTTAAACTCTAGATATAGTCAAAATAAGTCTCTTCCAAAAACAAATCTAAACCATCTAAGTTCAATTTGAACTTTAGATATAATGGACCTCTCTCGCCAACTCTCTATGCATTTGCTAAGCAGTTGTAGACAGTAGATTTCTTTTTACTTTTTAGGTTTGGGTTGCACTTGATTTCATCGAAGAAAACAGTGAGCCCACATTAACCCCCCTCTCTCGCTACCAATCTTATTGTGTGGATTATTCTGGATGTCTGGTGATACTTAGCCACTCGAGATTAGACCTAATATGTATTCTATTAATAATTTTTGTTCCCTTTTTCATGAATATCATACATTTGGGGTGTTTTTTAATATCATATTCGTTGGGTTTCTCTTTGCTGCATATCATATGCTTTTGGGCTTTTAGCTAATGATGTGAAGATGAAAATCAATTCTCCTGAATTATAAACCTGACTGGTTCTCTTAGTTAATTTCAGAATTTGTCTTTTCATTTTTGTCCTGGTTTCTGCCCATGAAATTGAAGTCAAACTCAAATTTGATGGGGAAACAGAGTTCAGATACTATACGATTGGTTTGCTTGCCTTCAAAAACTGCTTTTGAGCTCAGTTCCAATTCAAGCAATCATTTGCAACTGTAGTAATGGGCCAATAGCTACCTATGCTTACTTCAATCACAAATGTAGTAATAGCTACATATACATGAGATATATTCACAATAATATGCATTCCAAGTTGTGGAATGTTACCGCCATTACAAGGATTTTGAGCTCAGTTCCAATTCAAGCAATCATTTGCAACTCAGTCACTATAACTCGATCAAAACTAGTGATCTACAAAAGATAACCAACCCTATAGATGGATGCCTTGTATAAAAACCCACCAGCGGCCCAAAAAATGCTCTACATGAGGAATTGGATTAGTAAACTCTTCCATCATCAACAATTGATCCAAAATCTTTAGCCCTTCAAGATAGCCCTTCAAGACCTTCCTTTTCAACCTGCAACAAGAAGGAAATATTGAGCTGACGGATGCGTAAGTGGTTGTTAATGGAGTTGAAGTTACCAAATTCAGTAATAAAATTCATGTAATTGAAGCCAACCAAGTGATGGACTGAATGCATCATGTAATGAACTGATGAAAGAGATGATGGACCGATGCATCACATAATGAAAGAGACGATGGACTGAATGCATTACACATAACAAAATTCAGCAGCAAGCATACATTAGTGGTAGTGATATATGTGAACATACAAAATTCAGCAAGCATACAAAATTCAGCAGCTAGCATACATTAGTGGTAGGGATATCTGTGAACATACAAAACTTATAAAGCATACAAAATTCAGCAGCAAGCATACATTAGTGGTAGTGATATCTGTGAACATACAAAACTCAGCAAGCATACAAAATTCAGCAGCAAGCATACATTAGAGGTAGTGATATCTGTGAACATATAAAACTCAGCGAGCATACGAAATTCAGCAGCAAGTATACATTAGTGGTAGTGATATCTGTGAACATACAAAACTCAGCAAGCATACAAAATTCAGCAGCAAGCATACATTAGTGGTAGTGATATCTGTGAACGTACAAAACTTAGCAAGCATACAAAATTCAGCAGCAATCATACATTAGTGGTAGTGATATCTGTGAACATACAAAATTCAGCAAGCATACAAAATTCAGCAGCATACAAAATGAAACACACAACTCTACAAGTAAAATAGAAGTGCCAATGGATCTGTGTTGTACCCAATGCAACACACAAAACCACACTGTATTTCAACTCATATTCATGTTCTATAACACACATGAGTAGCCCAAAACATTGTCAGCTCCAATATTAGCCATCAGGCAGTTGCTTTCCACCAATTTCAGATCACTTTGTTGCACTCAACCTAATTCACAAAACCACACTGTATTTCAATAATCATATGCATGTTGTCTATAAATTTTGCAAGCAATAAGAAGCAATCACAAAAATTCAACAAGCAAGCAATCACTACATTACATTCTCCACCTGCTCAAATATTTATGGGAAAATTAAGTTCAGAAGAGAGAGAGAGAGAGAGAGAGAGAGAGAGAGAGAGAGAGAGAGAGAGAGAGAGAGAGAGAGAGAGAGAGAGAGAGAGAGTAGAGTAGAGAGTAGTAGTAGTAGAGTAGTAGTAGTAGTAGTAGTAGTAGTAGTAGTAAGTAGTACGTAGTAAGTAGAGTAGACGTAGACGTACGACGTAACGTAACGT